GGTTTGAGTTGGTTTTTTTTTTTCAATTTACTCAAATGTTAGGTAAATACTTTTGCTAAACTGTTTCAAAGTTTAAATAAAACACCATGACTATCATTATGAATAAGATAAACTTGCGTTTAGCAATAAGTGGCCTCGACATTGGATTCTATGAAACGATTCATTGGATCTGACAGAAGGTCTTCTCCGTAAAGTAGTTGAAATCAGCCTGCCTGTAAATATGTATCTTTTAATTTAAATGCAGATAATCAATATATTTAATCCACTAGTTAAAACTAAAAGGGAGAAAGGCTCTTTAGGTATTACTAATAACATTGCGTATTCATAAGTTCAGTAACAAGGAGATATCGAATGGTAATTGAAGTATTTGTGAATTGTATTAAGCAATTCAATGCTGGCTGGTAAATGTTACTCGACTGAGTAACACGGTCAGGGTTCATGGCATGACACCATGAACAGGAAACGCTCTTAAAAAACCTAACAACTGAAGACCCATACTTTCAACTAGAATTACATGATTTAGGACCAAAATTACCTCGGTGTTTCATTGCTTCCTGCAGTTTTTGGTGTGCTGATCAAAAAAATGATTTCCCAAATTTTCATCCCAGACCTTTACTTTTCCAAATATTTACCAATTTTGGACAAAAAATTTTACATCGAGTTTTACATAGTTTCCTGCAGTTTTTGGTGTGCTGATCACGAAAATGACTTCCAATTTCATCCCAGACCTTTACTTTTCCAAATATTTACCAATTTCGGACGAAAATTTTTGCATCGAGTTTTACATAGTTTCCTGCAGTTTTTGGTGTGCTGATCACGAAAATGACTTCCAATTTCATCTAAGACCTTTACTTTTCCAAATATTTACCAATTTCGGACAAAAATTTTTACATTGAGTTTTACATAGTTTTCTGCAGTTTATGGTGTGCTGATTACAAAAATGACTTCCAATTTCATCCCAGACCTTTACTTTCCCCAAAATTTACCAATTTGTGACCAAACTTTTAAAATTGAGTTTCACATTGACCCTGTATTGGCCTTACTTTGCATATATTCTTCACCATCTTCTACAAGAATACAGACGCATCGCTCGCCTACTACGCGCCCAAACTACGGCGCGTACCCCTAGTAACGTCACTCTAGTGAAGTTGTCTCATTACACAGAACGGTCGTATTTTTGAACATCAACTTTTCTTAACACAAGGTGGGTGTACGTATGCCACACTGGCAGACCGTGACTTGCAGCAACAGGCTTCGCTAGGCTGCGCCACTCCCGACATTCCACGCGCGTTTACGCCTACCTTGGCCTGCGGCGCTGGCCTGCTTTCAGCAGGCTCCCTTCAGAGATCCTTAACTTAACTTAACATTTAACAAACACTGCTTTCATAACGTAACATAAGACAATGTTAGCTGAAGCTTAAGGGTACGGACTTTTGGATAAACTTCCAAAAGTATCTCTACACAAATTCAAAACACAAAAAAATTACTTACCCTTTTTGAAAAGATGTCAGACGTTAAGGTTGATAACTTTAACTCTTACGATAACGTTATGATGCCCTTATGAGGTCCCTTGCCGGACATTGGATTTAAAATTGACGTGACGTAAAATGACGGGTGTGGGTGACTTTGGGATAGGAAAAGATTTGAAAAGTGGACAGGGACCGGTCTCAGCCCTCCCGACACAACTAAACCATCTGGAAAGAGTGAACTATCCTGTGTTCTTTCGAGCAAAACTCGCTAACAAGGTACTGAAGGCGGGCTATTGCCATAAAATGGTGATATAATTTGTTGGCTGTTAAAAGAGGAACAATTTGTCGTCTCTGTTTTGGAAATCACCCTACAGAAAAACGCAAAAGGGCTTTCATGCAGTGTGCAATCGATTTCTAAGGCGGCATTGGACGATGGGGAAAACTGGGTTTTTTTTTTAAAGCCGCCTAAGCTGCATCCTCCCCCCTTTCTCTCTCTCTCTCTCTCTCTTCTCTCTCTCTCTCTCTCTCTCTTCTCTCTCTCTTTTAGTGGCCATATCGTGTGGACTCAAAACTGATGATATCCAACTTAAGAATATCCTCACTGTCAAGCATACTGTAAAATACAAAATTAAATTGCTTGCCCTTTGAATTCATGTCGTCCGTTGCTTGCAGGTGGATGTTTCGACTAAAAGCCAGTTTCACCAGTACTTTCGTGGATCGGAGCTTGTCACGGCAGGACGTCGGAAGAGAAGTGGTAGCATGTCTGCGACAGTGACAGCCAAAGGCCCCAGTGACAGAAACGTCCAGTATTCAATACAGGTCCCTAGTTCCATCCGCAACATAAAAAAAATAGCTCGAACCTTCCGCTGGCCATCCTCCACTTTTCTTTGAATATAGTTCGGCTGGAGAGTGTTTGGACATTGTGTTTCAGTCTTCAGACGTCAGCATCAATCACTCCTGGCAAGACGTTAACGGAAACACTCCGATAGAACGTCTCTGGGCTTTCTTGGCACTGTCACAACAATTAGAGGATGAGAATTATCCAGCCACGTGGACCACAACGGGACCTTCCTCTACGAGCCCATCTCCCAGGAGACCATACAAGGAGAGCACAGTCTCCGACAGTCTCCGATCAACTGCTGCGCCTTCTCAGACGACGACCATGGCGTTGCAAGTAAGTCGTGGATGGGTCAAATTTCGCTAAGGCGTCCCACACAAGTTTTAATGTGATCCGATTTCAAGCGATCTCGGTGCGTTTGATGCACTATGTTCGGCATAAACGACGGATCCTTCGGCAAGAGAATTGCCAACGGTTCCTTCATTAATTTACAAAGCTCTTCGTATTTACGAGAACCTTCGTAATTTTTTTGAAGGACCTCTTTCGATTGTACAAGTTTACGAAGCACCTTCATAAATCTACACTGTTAAAAATAATCGTAAATATACGACATTTTGTAAAACAATTATGTCGTTTTGAAACGACATATTTTGTTACGACTCAAGTCGTAAATATACGACTTGAGTCGTAAATTTACGACATATTTGTCGCTAATTTTGATAGCGAGACGTTCCGTTTTGAAACGAATTAAGTCGCAAATTTACGACTTAATCGTAAGTTTACGAGCGATCGTAATTTATCTATGGAATATGTCGTGCAGTTATGACTGTCGTACATTTACGAATCTTTTCGTAAATTTGTGTAATGAATCGTAAATGAACGACACAAATCGTAAATAAGCGAGCAACATTGCAACTTTTCATCTACTTTTCGGGAATTTCAGATTTCAAAATATGTAATAGCGATTACGACATTGTCGTAGAGAAATGATTTTTTAGTCGTTCAGTTACGACGAAGTAGTTTCAGAACGATTTCTGTCGCTATCAAAATTAGCGACGTTTTTGTCGTTAATTTACGACTAAATTTCTGACAGTGTACAAAGATCCGTCTTAAATTTACAGGGAACCTTCGTTAATACTCAAAGAACCTTTGCAATTAATAGGCCTGGAACTAAGGACGGATCCTTCGGCCAAAATAATTGCCGGCATAGTTCCTTCGTTAATTCGTTTATTATAAGCTTAACTGATGGCCTAGGCAAAAGAAAACTGCAGGCAGTCCTGGGTAATTAATTTTAGCTTTAATGTTTCGGATGAATATTGCTTAAATTGCACTCAGAAAGGGAGTCAGGTATAGTCTAATTCCCGTATTTTGTGGCGACACCGGGACTGAGCACAATACAGGTGCCATGGCGCTTAATACATCAATTCATTGGAGGCATGCTGCCCCAATGGTCATGCTGCCCCAATGGTCACCTAACATGCTATAAGAATCAGAGCCCAACTAATTGATCCATGACTGTTAAAAGAAACCGTTTATGTGAGAAACTTTGGTGACTTGTTTCAGTACTCCTTCGTGACACCTTCGACCTGCATCGAGTTGAACACAAACGTCGCACCGACAGGTAATGTCCTGAATAAACTCGAGTTCGGTTTCGCGGCGGTGTGTCCAAGTGATGTTATCATTTTATGATTCGAAACGAATGAATCCCTGCTCAATCGAACGCTAACTCAGTCACTGTTTCTCTTCAGATTCTTCTGCCCTCTCTAACAACGATAATACCATCTAGTTTCACTGTTTCAGATCTGTTCAGAATTATTATTTTTTGCAGTGCAACTGCACTGCTGTACTTCACACCTGTTGTAGTGACTTTAATTTAAACTAAGTCAAAAATGAAATTATGCTGCACAGCCGCTCTGTATTAACGCTGAAGACCAGAAGTACAATTTATTATACTCACTCGTGTAAATTTTGTCAGAATGTCAGAAACATGTCTGAAATCCTGATCAAAATTCGCGCACCTCTGAAAGCTGAAATTCTGAAAACTTACTCTGATATTGATGGTGTGAGTTCTACAGAATGTCAGGAGATGTTTTCAGCTTTCAGAGGTGCGCGAATTTTGATCAGGTTTTCAGACAGGTTTCTGACATTGTGATAACATTTACACGAGTGCTACTTTAAAGTCAATGACTAATGCACATATTTTGAAGTTCTCAACTCCATTTACCGTTACTTGTGAATCCCTAGTACTGTTCCAACACCGCGGTCCAGACTACAATTCGAGGGGTCCTATTCAAAAGATCTTATCTGCGCGTTCCCCTCAAGACAATCTTATCTTAAACGCATGTGAATTTTACTCAGTTTGATCATTTAATACAGCTACAAACCAAAATCATTTGTGATAAAATTCACTGAAATGTGGAGATGAAAGATCAAAGAAACCAAAAGTACATGTAAAAATATATTCCGCTTACTCTCGTACGTGTCCCAACTGGTCAAACTGGGTGAAATCCGCATGCGTTTAAGATAAGATTGTCTTGGGGGGAACGCGCAGATAAGATCTTTTGAATAGGACCCCTCGAATTGAACTGCAGATCCTGCCACCCGGCCGAGGAAATTACCCTGGGAATCCCAGGAATTGGTCAGTTACCAGGAGATGGTTTTACCGTGTGATTCGTTTCAGCCGCACCGAGCACCAGGCGGCCGGGCTCCACTCCGATGACGTCATCACCTCGCAGCACCCTTCGGCCCTATTCCACTACGTCTCAGTATTCGGGCACCACTGCTGCAACGGCGTCAGCCGTTCTCCTGTCTTGGTCATGCCTTCTGTTACTAGTATGAATAAACCTTGCTGACAATTGTTGAGGCATAAGGGAATCAGTCGCCATTATTGTCTGAATAAGCCTGCAAAGCACAATGGAGGGACTCGTGCACTGAAACACACAAGGTGGATCCATCTCTTGGAATTTCCAGAAATATCGGGTTATTCCCACATTGAGAATGAAAAAGTCTTATTCAGTACCCAATTTTGGACAAGATATACTTTCTGACCCCAATTTAGGCGAGGAAGTCTTCGTCACCCAATTTTGGGTGATCAAGAGAGTATCAGCTATCTGGGTTAGGTTAGGGTTTCTAAGAAGGCCCTTTTATTGAGGCTCTACAGACTGTCAGGAGATGTTTTCAGCTTTGAGAGGTGCGCGAATTATGATCAGTATTTCAGACATTCTTCTGACATTTTGACAAAATTTACACAAGTGCTTTAGACACATTTAGGGCACCGCCTCTCAGCTCTCATTCCTTGGCCAACCCAAATTGCCAGAGAAGGTTCAAAATACAACAAATCGACGCAGAATGATTTGTTCCAAAATATTCCACAATTGTTCCAATTTGTTCCTTAACGAGGGCGGCTCCAGGCTCGTTATCGTTTTTCGATAACGAGCTGGCCAGCTTCAAACCAGTAAAAATGCACAAATTGACCTTGGAAAGGTGCAGTTCTTCTTAAAAACGTTTGTTCCAAAATGTTCCACCATCGTTTCACGGCCACCGATAGCACAAATGCAGTTTCCCAAAAACGATTGTTTTTTTTTGGGGTTGGCAAACTTCAAAAATACAAATCCGCGCGCAAAAAAAGTTGAAAATGATGCTAATTGCCTGAGAATCGTTTGTTCCGAAATGTTTCACCGTCGTTTCACGGCCACCGATAACACAAATGCGTTATCCGAAAAAACGTTGTTTGTTTGGGTTGGCGAACTTCCAAAATACAAATCCGCGTAAATAAAGTTTAAAATGATGCTAATCGCCTCAGAATCGTTTGTTCCGAAATGTTCCACCGTCGTTTCACGGCCACCGATAACACAAATGCGTTTTCCGAAAAACGGTTGTCTTTTTTGGGTTGGCGAACTTCCAAAATACAAATCTGCGTAAAAAAAGTTCAAAAGTATGCTTATCGCCTGAGAATCATTTGTTCCGAAAAGTTCCACTGTCAGTCCACGGCCACTGATATCTAAAATGCATTTTCAAAAAAACGGTTAGTTTTTTTTTTGTTTTTTTTGGGTTGGCGAACTTTCAAAATACAAATCTGCGTAAAAGTGCCTGAGCCTGATTGCGTGCCTAATTGCCTGAGAATCATTTGTTCCGAAATGTTCCACCGTCGTTCCACGGCCACCAATAGCTAAAATGCAATTTACGAAAAACTGTTGTTTGTTTGGTATGGCGAACTTGTCAAGTACAAATCCGCGTAAAAAGAGTTGAAAACAACGCGGTTCGCCTTAGAAACGTTTGTTGTTCAACTTCTGGGAGGTCCCCCTCTCAGCTCTTGAAAAAGGATGCGACGATAATCACTCTTGTAAATCTTGTCAAGACGTCAAAAACCTGTCCAAAAACCTAACCAAAATTTGCGCAAGTATGAAAGCTGAAAATTTCTTTTGACATCCTTTGGAACTTGGCCATCAATATGAGTGTAAGTTTTCAGAACTAAAGCTTTTAGGGGTGCGCGAATTTCAGAGGGCGAGGAAACCTTCCTCGCCCGAATTTGGTTGAAAAAGTATACCTCGCCTAAAATTGGGTATTGATCTCTCATTCTCAGTGAAAACTGTTTAACGGGTCAAAATAACAGACATTTGTGAAAAAACATTGTTTGTGAGATGTGCACAATTTTAAATGTTTTTCCCGCACTACAATAATAAGGCATGGGGCCATTTATTTCATTCCTCATATCGAAAGCACATTTAATTTTCTTTTCAAATGAGCCCTTTTAGACGTCTAAATCTGGCGCAATTAGCTAACGTCAACCATGTGCAACATGTGGTATTTTAGCTGAAAATAGGCAAAATGGACGTTTATTTTTGTGTGAGCTTCCCACTTGAGCCACGCTAAGCTGGCATCAGACTTCTTCGATCCTCTGCGTCGTGTAGCAGGTAAAGAAGTACATTGATACCTTTGACAGGACCTGCAACACGGGGGCATTTCTTAATTTGCGCCAAATTAAAAATGCAAGAAAAACAAAATTGTACAACAAATGTATCGTCATAGGGGGTTATACTTGGGAGACATTTTAGGGCCAGAAGCAAGATTCTCGACCCATGCCATTGCATCCCATTAATGTTCAAGATTGGTGACTCTTGATAATTTTGTCAGCTTGTCAGAATCATGCCTGAAATCTCGTGCAAATTCGCGCACTTATGAAAGATGAAAACTTATTCTATGGCATTCTGTAGTGTATGGTGCGATATCTCAGCTGCATTGCACCATACGTGCTATACTCATAGCGTTTGGAATCTCAGTGCATGACCTAAAATTGAAAATCATTTATCCTGGTTTGGAACCTGGAGCCCGCGCACACTTGGGTTTGTAGAGAGCATATGGCACGTTCCCTATTTCTGCGAACGCTGCTCGGAAAGGTTCGCGGCACCCGCTCTGTGTTTCGACATCAGGCAGTTTGGTCGCTTAAACAAGCATCTTCCGAGAAACGGCTTGACGGGGCAGTATGTATTGGCGCATCATGCCAGATGCCGACGCCAATAAATAGCCAACGCCTCTCCGTCCTCTCGGTCAGCGTTCACTCAGTCGACACCACTGCAACATGGCTCGTGCTCTTTTCCTCGTCCTGGTCCTGGTGGCGACCGCCTACGCCGTAAGCTCCAGCACGCTTGCCGGACCACAACTTTGCGTCCACACTCAACCCGAGGGGTCCTATTCAAAAGATCTTATCCGGGCGTTCCCCCAAGACAATCTTATCTTAAACGCCGGCAAATTTCACTCATTTTGGTCAATTAGAATAAATACGACGGTAAGCGAAACACATTTCTACATGCACTTTTGGTTTCTTTGATCTTCCATCTTTAGATTTACTTGAACAAACTCACAAATTATATTGATATGTAGCTGTATCAAATGATCAAACTATGTGAAATTCACCTGCGTTCAAGATAAGATTGTCTTGGGGGAACGCCCAGATAAGATCTTTGGAATAGGACCCCTCGAATTGCACTGTTAAAATCAATATCCGGAGTTATCGAGCACACTAAATGTTTATGGTCAATTTTGTACGTAGTGATGCATACCCTATTTTAAACCTGCGTGCCGTCGTGCATAACATTGTGCGTGAATTTGCATAAATTCATGCATTTTCACGCACAATATTATGCATATTCCACGCATGCACAAAATCGTGCGGGTTGCACGTTCAAAATTCTACCTTAATATTAAGTGTGAGTGCGTCCCTGTAGTAAAAATGCTGCCGAAGGTACCTTAGTAAATTCACGGAGAGTCTGGGTGATGACACAAGATTTTCACCTGAGGTTTCTTCCTCTTTTCCCAAATCATTTGCTTAAACTGTACTGTTCTGTTTCACGTGCATCGCTCGCTTTGTACGGCATTCAGCATTCCTGAGGTATGGACGGAATTTTGCGCACAGGGTTTGGCATAGCAACACTGAAAATTTGTTATCACTTTATGACAAAAACGCGGATGACATTGTCACCACTTTCAAATGATGACAACAATCTCATCACAAATTGATGACATTTTCATCAAAGCTCCTATACTTATTCCATGGGCTTGACAACAATGTCATCAGTTGTTTCGATGACATTGTTGTTAGGAAAATTAGCCTTGAAAGTGTCATCCAGTGACGACTCAAATTTTCACAGTAAACACCGTCAAAGCGGACTTTGCATTCTCCGTACTTCACACTGTTAAAAAAATCCATCTTAATTTTAAGAAACTTTTTTATGAAGCAGTTTACAAAGACTTTTTGCTAGTAAAAGTAATAAACTTTTTCTTCTTAAAAGTAAGAATCAAATTTGAAAAGTAATAATCTGTTTCTTAAAAGTTGTTTTTGCATTTAAGAAGAATTTAATATAGAGCAGGTAAAAATTGAACGCCTTATGTACGTAATGAGTTATTCATTGTATGGTAGTAGTCGATTTCACTGCCGAAATCGCTTGGAAGCGTGGTTCAAACTCGGTCTCGAACCCGGAATTCCGGAATACCGCACCGCGACGCTACCAACTGCGCCACGAGTGAGCTCTGCGAGGCGGGCTCTAGGATGTGGATGACTCCAAGCCTCTCGGCGGAGACTCCGCTAGGCAGTGGAAGCGCTCATCCCAGGGCCTCCAAACACGACTTCACATGACCAAGATCATCCAAATTTGTTCTTTACGTACACTGGTAGTGAAGCGTCCAATGATCACAATTAAAACTGGCAGGATGAGAATCAAATATGAAAAGTCATGGTAATTTTGAATTTTAAGAAACAAATTATTGCATTTGGTAAACAGTCTCAAATTTAATGAACCTGTTTTTTAATTTTAATAAAGTTTCTGAAACTTACCAATATTTTCATTACTTGTCAGAAATGTTTTGGTAAATGTAAGAAATTTTCTTAAACTTCACAAACCTTTATGAGTTTTCATATCCTTTCAAAAGGTTATTAAAATTAAGATGTCATTATGTATTAAATTTAAGAATTTTTTTAACAGTGCAAGTGTGGAGTAGGTCAGCCCGGATTCCAGCGTTTTTCAACGACTGCTCAAGCCCGTAAAGAACACAGTTCCTAGAAACTTTTGCGATAAAATCGTGCCGGTGTTGCTCGTTATTTACATGATACTTCCGTTTTAGCAATGTTTTGCAAAAACCGCTCCTCAAATTCGTCGATAAGGGTTTAAGATAGGATTTTGATGTAACACATTTTGTTGCGGTTTTGTCGTCATTATTACAAAGCATTAAAATTCAACTTTTATTATGAACTAAAGGCACTGTCTCTAAAAGTAAATGGAGATATCTGTAAACAAATTGTGCAAGTTGTCCACACTCAGAACTTAACAATTTCCGAGGCCATTTTGTCAATATACTCCAACAAGTTACAGTCGTTTCCACGCACCTCTGCTACGGGCAGGCAAAAAATACTGAAAGCAATGAAAAACCAAACGTGGTCTAGACCCAACTGGTGTGGTCAAATGTGTGCCATTTTGAACGCATCAGTTGGTGTGGTCTAGACCACGTTTGGTGCGAAAGACCACACGAAACGTGGTCTAGGCCACACCAAACGTGCCCAAACGTGGTCAAGACAGCACCAACTGATGCGGTCAAAATGGCACCCATTTGACCACACCAGTAGTGTGGTCTAGACCACGTTTGATTTTACAGTGAGTTCTGCGGAGATGATTAATTAGAGGCTGCGGAAAGAGGTTGAGTTTCGGGCACGGACAATCCTGCCAAAAATAATGTGTGTCTTTTTCCGCTTTTAACGCGTATCGAGCCGTGCGCAGGACCGCTACGCCTTCAACCAGGTGAACGAGATCGCCTCTCGGGTCAAGGTGTGTCTGAAGCCCGTGGCCAAGCTGGACGCCGGCTTCTACCGACCCGCAGACAACTGCGCCTACAATGCCAAGCTGAGCGCGAGAGACGGCAAAGCCAAGGAGACCCTCGCCAACTCCGTCCCCAAGTGCCTGGTCGGCTACAAGGTGGACGCTGTCCTTGTGGCGAGCGCCAAGCAGTGCCTCGTCAAGTCCCTCGCCGCCGACCTGAAGCCCGCCCTCGAGATGGTGAGCAACGCCCTACACTAGTAGAACTCAAGCGTCGTTTTACGCCTTTCTTCAAGCGTAGTAGAACTATGCTCGGCTTCAAGCATAGTTCTCCATTTTGCCCCTCTCCGGCCTATCTAAATGCATGGGAGAATTTCTTCTCTACGCTTGACGTCAAGCGCAAAGTCTTCAAGCGTAGTTGCATGCTTGAATCAAGCATACAACTACGCTTCAGTTTTACCGGTGTACACCCTGGCTAATGGTTCATGACGCTAACTCCAGCAAGAGAAAACCCAAGCCTGTTAAACAAACTCTCTGCCTGGTAAACGCTTTTACAATGCTGAAGCGTGAAATTTTAATTTGGATCATATAGAAAAAATAACTTTGGAACACAATGCATTTTGGCTTTGAACTGCGTTCGATGCTACTGAAAGATACATAAGAAGGTCTCTGTTGCCTTCTAGTCGACTGCACAGTCTTCACTGGTAAAACTAAAGCGTGGCATTACCCTCTGTTTTCAAGCGTAATCAGTTTACGCGTAAATGCATGGGGAAATTTCCAGAGTATGCTTGATTTCAAGCGTAACGTCTTCAAGCGTAACTCTATGCTTGACTCAAGCGTAGTTTTACGCTTTAGTTTTACCAGTGTTGTGTGCTAAGACCGAGCGTATCGCATAGCATATCCAACATCTATGAGATGGGGCAGAGCGCTGTACCGTCAACGGGGGTAACTTGGGACACCGGGGGTAACTTGGGACAGTCTGCCCTGTACAGCTTGTTGGCGCTGCCATTCACCGACGAGGGTTCCTAGCGTCAAACCCGCGGCAGGGTTTTGTTTCAGAGGCCTCAGGGCACGCGCGGAAAGGTAGAAACGGTGCATAACATCACAATTAGTATTTAAGAAACGGGAAACTACATAATAGGGTTTTTGACAAAATATGTCAAACATTGACAAGTTGACCCTAGTTTAAGGAGTGAAATGCAGATTTGGCCGATTAGACTCTCTGGGTTGTTAGATCATACAGAGACAATAACGTTCGCAAAAGGGCGTTGATTATAGTTTTCCCACCTTCGGTCCAAACTTCATTTTCTCAAAAAATCGAAATTTTACGGGGTAACTTGGGACAGTCTTTTCCTCATGTTTCCAGCAGTCCTAGCCTTCTACGAGTTGACTGACCCGGTCTCTGACATAACCTAAACTTCGGATTTTACGCTGATGATGGAAAGAGATGCCTTGCTCTGCAGTTTTGTCTTCAGATAATCCATATTTTGAAATTTTCAGAAAATGCCTGAAAAATACCAGTAGAAAAGAGAGTTCCGCGTAGAGTCCTAGATATAGTCCAATATCGGTCCTACAAGAGTTCCTAGGCCTGAATTCTTAGTCTACATGTTGTGACTAAAATTTATTACGTCCATTAACACCAATAGATGCATGGGAACGTAGCTAATTACCTACTGTCCCAAGTTACCCCCGGTCATGGGGTAACTTGGGACACTCTTTCGAGACCACTTGGAAACGATGTAATCGAGGCAAAATGAACCAGACCAGCATGAAATCATGGGGAAAGGGTCAAACTTTAACATAGTTAGGATCCAATGGTCTGGGTTGAGAATCTTGCCTCTGGCGTTCAAAAAACGTGAAAAAGTGTCCCAAGTTACCCCCGTTGACGGTAGCCAATTTGGCAGTAAAATCACATAACCACCAAAAGCCATACTCATTAAGGGGGGACCCTGGTGAAAAAATGACCAAAATTGCCAAAAATAGTATTTTCAAAGTTCATAGATAAAAATGTGCATAGAAGGTTTCAGATTCAACAGGTTGAACACCTTTAAAATATGTGGGTAGTTCCTTCATCATTTGGAAAGAAATAACATTGAGATCAGTTGTCGTTGGCTTATACGCTCAACTTCACAGCTTTGCTCAGTCGACAAAAAATTTTGTCGTAGAAAGACTTCCTGCGTTCCTGGTTGACACCTACATGAGTCGTCTTGCATGGACTCTATTCATTGATGACTTATCGACAAATTTTAGTGACGGAATCTTGATATCAGCCCTACTTTTTTTAACACACACCTAAAAGTTTCAAAAAAAGGCAAAAAATTCACTTTTTTTAAATGTTTCAATTTGAAAATTGATATCTCAGGACAGAAGATGAAATTGAAAATTCCGTCACTAAAATCTCTTCTATACATCTTAAGGATAACCCAAAAAAAATTTCAAGACTTTCCGTTCCAATGAAAGACGCAGGAAGATTTTTCCCCAACGCTCTAAAAAACACTAAAAAGCCACTTTTCTCAGAGACCGTTCAACATTTTGGATTGAATTTTGTTTTATGAACTCACCTTAATGAACCTAATAATCAAGCAAAGTTACAACTTTCTGGGATTATTTTAAAGCCTACTTGAAAGTTTCACCAGGGTCCCCCCTTAACTCAGGACAAAAAGTCAATAACACTCTATCAAAAATGTCCTGTCAATGCCGTGAATTTATTACCAGTTTTCACTGTAGGTCAATTCACAGCGTTTACTGTGATCTGCACACTTAACTTCTTACGGATACATCCTATCTGTATTACGGACATTTTTGTGCAATTGCAATTACGGATAGATTTTGCTTGTAATACGGATGAAATCATCCGTATTACAGAGTTTTACGTCCGTACCATACGGATATTTTCGTCTGTATGTTACGGACGTAAAACTCTTTGTAATACGTATGATTTCATCCGTATTACAAGCAAAATCTATCCGTAATTGCAATTGCACAAAAATGTCCGTAATACAGATAGGATGTATCCGTAAGAAGTTTAGTGTGTGCTCACGTGATTCACTGTGATCTTGTTCACGGTGTTCACTGTGATCTGGTCTACAGTAAACACTGTGAGTACCGAAGCGCTGCAAATCAGGCTCCAATTCACGGCGTTTACTGTGGCCAGATCACAGTGAACACTGTAACCGAGATCACAATGAACGCCGTGAACTAGTTCACAGCAAACGCCGTGAATTGCATGACAGCAAACATAGGTCATAAATTAACGGCGTTGACAGGATATTTTTTGTGGAGTGAACAGTCTGAGAGTGTACTTAATTTCTCAGCGTAGTGCCTGCAAACTACACGTGGCGTTGTTCTAGGCCGAGTACACTGGTGACGAGCTGTACGAGATCAGTGGTCGCATCCAGGACTGCCTGTCCGCCATCCCCGACACCGCCGCCATCTCGTCCGACGTCGCCGACGAGGCCTTCTACCAGGCCGAGAACGGCTACCCCAAGGAGTCCCTGCTCGAGTACTCCATCATCCCCTACCTCGACAACAAGAACGTCAACGCCCCGGCCGTGGCCGCGGCAGAGCAGTGCATTGCCGCGTCGCTCGCCAAGCCCCTAGAATCCTAGGAACGTGCTCAAAACCTTGCGAAGTGTCCTCAACGTACGATGGGTGCAAATCTTTTAGTTTGTCATTCAAAAGAAACGGTTCAACATTGTCAAAAGAATTTTCTTCGTAAGCTTGTGTTTGTTCAAAATACTATGGTATCACCAACTGTTTTTGCAATTAAAGCGTAAATTAGTTCGAAAGATTTTTGAGAGCTAAAATGTTTTAAATCTGGAGGAGATGATCTAGGCAGTATGGCAGAAATAAATTTTTATCCAAACCGACGTGGCTTATTTGATCTCATTGGCGTACAGGGGGGCTATTTTAGGGTGACCATCAAACCCCTAAAATGACCCATCTCAGATTCCAATTTTTTTTTTGTCTTGGGTGATGGAGACCGATACCCCAAAGCACCCATGCCAAAGGCTTTTCCAATTTATAAAGCGGTTTGGATTCCACAGCCATTTTAATTTTTAAGTTTCCGAAATGTGTTAATCTGACGTAAAAGTGGTAATTTTCTTTTTTGAGAGTCCGATGCTGGTATCGGCCTATCGTTTCCTTTCAGACGAGTCAAAATCAAAATTTTAGGGGATTTCAGATCCTTTTGCTACAAAGTCAGGTTTGCATAGTATACCTTATTTATTATTTGGTATCTGTATTTGCAGTTATGGCTTCTTCTACTTTCAATTTGGCATGGAAAGAAGGTCTGAAGCCGAGGAAACCTACTGGTTTGCTCCGAGGGAAGGAGAATAAGATTGACAAGCTTATTAAGGATCTGTCATTGTACAAAGATAAATACGGCAATAATGTGTATTAGTTGATTGCCATTTATACTGACTTCAAAATTAAGTTTTATACATATCTGCCAAAACAATACGACAATAAGGATGATGCCTATGTTGATAGGCTTAATACTGAAATACAAGAAGGAAATAACATCAGGATAATTTTTTATGGATGTATTGGAAGTTCCAATGAACTCTACATCCACGACCATGATGAACGTAAGTGTTTTGACAAGATCTGGTTTTATTTGCCATCCATTTGTTGTATCTGTTAATTAATTTTTTGTTGTTTGTTTCAGCTCTTGACCAGAAAAGTTGGAACTGATTCGTTTAATTGAAAGGTCGGAACGAGGATGGGGCACTAACGGGAAAAGAAGTGGCAGTGATGTCGGCACCAGTGGTGATGAAGATGACAGTGTTATGAAGAAATCTAAATTGGAATGAATGTTGGATTGTAGTTATGTTTTGGTTCAAAGTATGAGTTTTGCAAAAATTAGATTCATTTTTTTTTTGTTTCTTGGTACGTAAGTGACATACTGTTTTGTTAAATTTTGGGGTGTGTCATTGGGTTGAATAAACAATGAGAAATATGTTACCGTTTCATTGTTAAACCTTTATTCCTAATTAGATTGTGTTACTAAAATTCATAACTTAAAAAATAATTTTTGACTGATTGCACTAAATTCAAAATTGGTAGATAATTTTATGAAATAAATGTTTCTGGAAATGGTTCACATCTTCTCAATTTTCAAGCCGTCACACTGACACTTAAAGAATCGGAACTAATAGCGGGCGAAGCCCTCGAATCGGCCCGATTTAGCCTAGTTATGTTGAGATTGGAAACCGGGTTCAGCATACACTGTCATAAGACGCTTGTGTCCCACGGATCTTGCCATGCATTATGTAAATTTAAGCACATGCGATGATATTATTTTTGTGTACGCCCAGCGGGGCAAATTGTCATTTGAAAGTACAATTTTCAGTAGCCTTCGGTCAATGTGTGTTGCCAAGCGCTAACTAATGTTTGCACCACCGTGCATAACACGTGGGACAAAAAAGTGTTTCGTAACGTATAGTGTACAGAGCACCATCAGAAACAGAGCTGATATTCTCAAAGTAATAACAGTTTATTCATAAATCATTTATTAAGATGAAGTTGGAAATTCATGGGAATGGTGAGTGTAGGTTGGCACTTAAAAATTATGTTCAGATCCAATAAAATATTATCCTATATGTAACTACACTGTGAGAAAAAAGTACGGAACATGTCTGGTCAATAATTTGCCTGGAACGTCCGTACTTACGAACTACGGAACGTTCCGTTCTTTTTCCCGTACCCATTTACATGGGTTCATATGGAGCAAGTACGGAACGTTCCGTACTTTTCTCCGTACCTCCGTACAACATTATTCTGTACCATTTCCGTACAAAAGTACTGAATTTTTACGGTGTACCCTGCACTCTACCAAAAATGTCCTGTCAATGCCGTTAATTTATTACCAGTTTTCACTGTAGGTCAATTCACAGCACTGTGGCAAAAAGGTACGGAAAATTCTGTTAATTTTTTTGCCAGGATTCTCCGTAGCCCTCTTATCACTATTCTCCGTACACTGTTAAAAAAATTTACTGAAAATTCATAATTTTTTGTAAGAAGTCGATTTACTTACATTCAGTCTGAATTTTCATACCAAAACTTTCATACTTCGCGGTCTGAAAGTTTCAGACGACGTTAGTCTGAATTTTCAGATCAACATGTTGTATGAAAAATGATACCAGTCGGTCTATTTTATCAGACTAAGTTGTACGAAGACATTGAACAGTCGCACTAAAAAATGCCACTCTGTAGAGTAGAACACAAATCGGCGAACTTTTGCCATCGGTTTATCGTAGACGCTCAGCGGATCGTCTTGACTCAAAAATTAGGTACACAGCAGTAGACTCCTACTTGCAAAGGAAGTGAAGAGGCTAGAGGTGACTGCTGAAATGCGAGGGAGAGCGGCCTTAGCCCAACCACGCGCCGACCCGTGGCCATGCGCGAGAGTGAAATTGTATTCTTTGTTATTTAGCTTATACTGCACTTATTAACCTGAATCTTGCTTTGGTGCGCTCATGCCCTTTCAGACAATCACTTGGAATAAGTTTGTAACAAAATATTCGCAATTTCGCCTTCAAGTGGCAATTTTAGCTCCAAGAGATCATCCATGCGACACTAGCGCCACCTAGCGGATAGAGCAATAAGTGTCCATTTCGGAGCTCTGAAACATTCTCTATGCTTTTACGACACTAAACGTAAATATTATTTGAAATACAACAGTAGTATTGATAAAAGTTCTGAGAAAATCGAAAAATGTACAAAGGGGACGGGGTTTTTTCACTCGTTTTTCGATTTCACAAGTATGAATTTAGTTTTCGGACGACAATGTACAAAACTTGATAGCCATCGCTCTAAATATTCAGACTTGCTAGTCTAAATTCAAATTTCAGACAACAGGTCAAACTTTTCAGACAGTTGGTCTTAATATTCGTACCATTTTATGAATTTACGATTCAGACCACCAAGTAAGACGAAATCAGTCTGAATTTTCATATTTTTTTTTACAGTGTAGGCTCTTACAGTATTCTCCGTGGGGCCGTACAGTATTCTCTGTAAGTCCGCACAGTCTTCTCCGTAGGACCTGGAAGACTGTATAGTCCTACGGAGATCACTGTAAGGTCCTACGGAGAATACTGTGCTGTCCTACAGAAAATACTGTAAGAGCCTACGGAGAATATTGATAAGGGGGCTACGGAGAATTACCACAAGCTGTTTACAGAATTTTCCGTAGCTTTTTGCCACAGTGAGCGTTTACTGTGATCTGCTCACGTGATTCACTGTGATCTTGTTCACGGTGTTTACTGTGATCTGGTTCACAGTAAACACTGTGAGTTTGACGCCGCTCAGCACCGACGTCGACCGACGTGCTGCAAATCAGTCTCGAATTCACGGCGTTTACTGTGGCCAGATCACAGTGAACACTGTAACCGAGATCACAGTGAACACTGTAACCGAGATCACAGTGAACGCCGTGAACTAGTTCACAGCAAACGCCGTGAATTGCATCAGCAAACATTGGTAATAAATTAACGGCGTTGACAGAACATTTTTTGTAGAGTGTGACGTCGTCCCGGGCTTTTTTATTCGAGGCGCTGTCGCCTATCGGAGTTCCACAGGGAGGTGCCTTCGGGTTCTTCAGGCGGCGTTGAACAGACTGGCCAAGACCGCCAGTGCGAGGGCAGCCGGCGTGAAGTGCACCCCAGCGGACGAGGATGACTCTGGCTCCACCAGTGGCACCACTCGACGCTCAGCCATCTCCAGCCAGAATGAGGACGAGTCCTTGAGCGTTCTCTTTAAAGTGCCGTTTTCGTAGTCGACGTGGACCAGGCCGTAAGGAATACTAAGGCGGGAACAGAATGACATTGAATTGAAGTTTCATGTTCTTCACGCCTAAAACCCTACAAAATATGGTACGAGCATATATAGTTCAAACTAAATATACATGTTACACGAAGAAAAACAGTTGGTAAATTACGAAGTATTTTCCTTGTAAGCTTGTGTATGCTCAAAATACTTTGACAAGCTGTTTTTTTCCGCAAGGCTCAAAATAGCTTGAAAGGTTTCCAGATTGCAGTGAATTCAGCGCAAGCGTAGTTCGACGCAAAATTTCTCCTACGAATCGTTTTGGCATTTTCTTTCTGAGATAAAAGCAAAACCTTCGTTATACGAAGGAATTTAGCATCGTTTAGTGCATGTGCCATTTCCTTCATTTTCAGGGAAATTTCCTCGTAAACAGTATGCACCAGTTAGTTAGTGCTTGCGGCCATGCAATATATAAACTTTTATTTAAAGAGAAGTATCACTCCCAAGTGAATTTGACGGGTGTTGTGCATTGTTGAACACATTACGTGGGAAAGTGCCACAACCCCCTGCATCGGTTGAAACGTACCTGAAGCCCTTGCTCCACTCGTAGCTGTCGATGAGGCTCCATGCACAGTAGCCAATGATCTTCGTACCGAACTCGTGAATGGTGGAAACCATGGACCGCATGAAAGCCTGCGTGGTTGACGGGTGTTTAGTGCGAAATTAGGGACAAAACAAACATCCTACCGTGCCCAAAATTTAAAACTGCTCGCCACTGGCATAATTACGAAGTATTTTGAGCATATGCACCCAAAGACTTCTTGGATAAAAAACACCATCTGGACGTATGCTCAAAATACGGTGTTATAGGAAGCTACTTTTTACTTCGTAAGCAAAATCCTTCGTAATATGAAACATTACTCCACGATGGAAAGCAATTCTACAACGCCTACATACTTTGTAGTTATGAAGTACAAGCTTGGGAGACTTGATGGAGTGAATGGGTGGTGGTCACACCCATGAAAGTAAGGTCATTTTACCTTAAAAGGGGCCATTGCCCGCTTGAGGCCTCGAGCTGAGCACGCCACTGTCCCCTGCGTGTACTGCTCTGGAGAAGAGGGCACTTCGACGCCTCCTAATGGAATAATCCTGTCAGTGTCCAAGACAATCCTAACTGCTCAGAGGTTTCAGAGGAGGCTAAAACTGCTTATTAGCTCTCTTCAGTCCAAAGCAGCGAATCATGATATCACTGAAATACAGCTTCCACGTTTAAATGCAAGGTTTATACTTTTACACTCTCGTTCCAGGAACGTGACATCACGTTGAAACGAACGTGACAAAATGTGACGTTCGTTTGAGCATCGTGTCACATTTGTATGACTGTGAACGAGCTGATTTTTGGCCAACTCACATCCGAACGAATGTGACAGGATGCTCAAACGAATGTGACATTTTGTCACGTTCGTTTCAACGTGATGTCACGTTCCTGGAATGAAAGTGTAAACAAGTCCATTGCCAAGAAATTTGAAGAAGCATGTTGGCGTCACAGAATTTTTGGCTGAGCGATAGCGAAGCCTGTTACTTCAGTGGGGTTGAAAAGTTTTGTCTGTCTGTCTGTCTGTGTGTCTGTCTGTCTGTCTGTGTGTCCGCACTACTCCTCCTGAACGGCTCGGCCGATCTTGGTGAGACTTTGCACACTTCTTGGGTATGTCCTTGGCTCGGCACACGCGAAATTTCACCATCCTAGCTCAACTGGTTCAGTTTTTATAGCCGAAAAACACCTAAAAACGGCGAAAAATAGAGCTTTCTGCAGATAGATCACTTCTGGCTTGGAGAAAGGGGGGTCTGGAGGGGGGAGCCCCCCAGCCTTAACAAGTTAAAAAGTGACAAGGGTCAAGGTCGTGTTATCTGTAGATAAAACAACTCTATTTAGAATGTAGGGGGGGTCTGGGGGGCGGAGCACCCCAGCATTCAACAAGTTAAAAAATAACCGACAATGGACAAGCCATTGCCTGCCGCAGGCAGGCTAGCGCCGCAGGCCAAGGTAGGTACGCCAGGCGTGGATTGGAGGAACAGGCAGCGAGACATCGCGAAGCCTGTTACGACAAGACGCGGTCTGGCGTAAACCTACCTTGTATAAGAAATAGCTTTTTACGTCGGACAATCTGCGCTGACTGTTAGGATTGTCTTGGATCAGCACTGACAGGATTTTTCTATTAGGAGGCGTCGACTCACGTGAAAAAATGACAACTGAACATGAACAACTTACGCTGTGATAAACTGCTCTGAGGTGGTCGTGCACGCCGGGAAACCCAATGCCGTTCTCGGTTATCATGATGGGCACATTGTACGAGAACCACGTCCACAGCAGCGCGCTGCGCATTGCCTCGGGAGCAATCTGAATGACACAACGATGGGGACATTGCAGGCATGCCTCGTACGCCAACTAACCTAACTGCACTGAAAATACTTTCACTGAAAATCAAATAGTGATACATTTCACTCTCTGATGGGTGAGACATAACTGTCTCACCGAAAAAGGGTGATACCAAAATGTATCACCGAAAAAATGGTCGCACACTTATGTATCACCGAACAAAAACTAAACGGGACGGGCCAAAAAAGGGTGATACTTCCCCCACGAAAACAAGGGCCAATCTCACGGATGTCTCACGTTTTTTTCGATGATACATTTGTGTACGACCTCTTTTTCGGTGACACATACGTGTACGGCCATTTTTTCGGTGATACATTTGATCCAGGAAGCGGAAGAAGGGAATAACTCGACTTATCCCCAAATTGAGTTTTCATTTTATTATTGTGCCTTAGAATGGTTTACATCATTACACCAAATTATTTGACTGAATTCCAAGCAGTTTAGGAGAAAATCCACTTGGAAAAAGGGTATAACTCAACTTAACCCCTTTTACAGTCTAAATTTCATTGGAAAATGGAGATAACTCAACCTTAGTCTACATGAGTCCGTTTGACAATTTGGCAAAGGGATATAACTCAACTTGTGTTTTTATGAATCTAGTGTAAAAAGAATCAACTCAACTTAACCCCCAAAATTTTAAATTTCAATTTGGAAAAAAGAGCTAAGTCCAAAAAATACACCAGAGTAACATACACTTTATGCAGACTATTGTTCCACTTGACTTGTCTCCAAATTCCTCTTTGTTTAGGAAATATAAGGTGAGCTGACTCTGTTTTCCATTTCAACGGAAAGTGATAAGTCGCAGAAATCCTCTACGGAGTGACCTTACACTTTTGATTTTTTTTTCCAAAATTTTACTAATGCTTTTTGAAATTATTAACATGTGCAACATTCATTTGTTTTGTTTTAGTTTTCCCTGCTAACAGTTTTTTGTTTCTCCTGAAAAATTGCCAAAATTGAGTTATCCCTTTCTTCCGCTTCCTGGATCATTTGTGTTACGACCTTTTATTCAGGGATACATTTTGTATCGCCGAAAATTGGTGAGATGTCTCACCCTTTGAATTACAGTGTTTTGACTGGTGGAAATGAGTACGACAAAAGGACGGAGCATTTTTCTCGACCGTATCGCGGAGGCCTCGTACACGATTCCCGTGCCCGTTCACTGTTAATCCATTTGCGATACAGACCGCACTTTGAGCGCAATACAAATTTCATCGCACTTTTCTGTGGTAGTGAGCATTCGAAAAAGGTGCGATGAGCTGGTGCATCGCAAACTTTTCCAATGATCATTGCAAAACACTGTAATTATTGCAGACTTTGCGTTGTCATCGTAGCAAGTTTTTTTTGCAAAATTTCCGATTTTCATTGCAGAAATGTACGATGATCGATCATTGCAGGATTTGGGGATACATAAGTGATTGCATCTGAGGTGCATAATGATTCGTGGGAATGACATCACAAGTTTTTTTGTTGAAAGTATCGCAACTTGGACAACAACGTGCAAGTGTATAACACTTGGATTAGCAGTGTGGGTACTACGGAGAACCAGTGCGGAAGGTTCGTTCTCCTTCCGTACCCTATTTCCTGTAAATTTTCCGCACCAAACTACCAAACTTCTTCAGTGGACTGCACTGGTAAAACTAAAGCGTAACTCTATGCTTGAGTCTAGCACAAAGTTACGCTTGAAGACGTTAGGCTTGAAATGAAGCATACTTGGGAAATTCCTCCATGCATATAGACAGAGGGAATCTTGGCCGATGAGCCTGCTACGCTTGACTTGAAGCGTAAACTGATAACGCTTGAAAACAGAGGACAATGCTACGCTTTAGCTTTACCAGTGTGGTACCGGTACAGTCATACGAACCATAGTTGATGGGAATTGATCAAGGCTCTCTCCAGTTGGAGAGCGATAGCCAACGTTCATAAAGTTGGCCTCCTTGAAAAGTTGTCTTAGGGGTACGTCGACGGGGCGGCGCGGTGTCGCTGGGTCCTTGTACGAGACTACCATGCCGTAATACACGTTGAGACCGATGTAGTCCGTAGAATCTGTCGAAACGATTAGTCCGATACTACTCCGGGGCAATAAATAATGTCAGAAGTAATATGTCAGAAATAATGTCATTCTTTTTCAATTACATATAGGTTCTAAGTAAATTTAACTACACTGGAAGCCAACGAATAAGACATCACATTCGTTTGAACGTGAAAACCACGATGTCAGATTGAACGTGACAAACAGAGAAAATTCATACTCAAACGAATGTGACACACCGCACCGCTCTGTCACATGACTTCGGGTGTGACACGAAATCAGCAGGCAAACTGTCACATTAAAACGAATGTGACACATGGTACCCATTGACATACATCGTGTCACATCCACATCCATTCGTTTGGATGTGACACGATGTATGTCAATGGGTACCCTGTGTCACATTCGTTTTAATGTGACAGTTTGCCTGCTGATTTCGTGTCACACCCGAAGTCATGTGACAGCGGTGCGGTGTGTCACATTCGTTTGAGTATGAATTTTCTCTGTTTGTCACGTTTAAACTGACATCGCCGTTTTCACGTTCAAACGAATGTGATGTCACATTCGTTGGCTACCAGTGTAATTGCTAAGTTAACTCATCAACTGTATAGCTCAGAATAGGTTGTACTGAGCCTTTCGATGACGAAGCATAGAGAAAGCGGTACATCGATATCTTGATCGAAGCGACTTCATCAGATTCAAGGCTTTCTCCTAAACAACGCTGTCATCAAGGAGACTTACACACTAAGTGTTTTTGTACATATTTTGTACGAGACATCACAGTTTTTTGTGCAAACGAACTTTTCGTACAAATTTGTTCAAAATTTTGTACAATTTTGTACATGGCGAAAAATGTGCAGTTTTTCGTACGAAAATTGCACGAAAATTTCGTGTGCTCATAAAACTGCTGTCTCGTACAAAATTGTACATAACATTTCGTGTAAATAAACTCCACTTCGACTTACTCTTGAGCATGGCTTTCTCATCTTCGCTGAACTTGGGCAGCTTGTCTCCCACAATGTTCTTGACCAACTGCGGGTAGTCACCATTCACCAACGGATTCAGCAGCATGCCGGCAAACATTTGATTGTAGGCCTCAGAAGCGTAAACATCCTCAGCAGCACTGGAGGCCGGGACGGACAATAGAGTCGTCACAGTGAAGCCAATCTTGCCTGAAAAGGATAGACTCGTTGCAGTTGCCACAAGAGTTTTTTTTTTGCATTGCAGGCGCCACAATGTCATGCAACCGCCACAAAATAACAGGAAAAAAGACGCAGGAAATCGGTCTCTTTGACCCGTCCTGTAAATAAGTAGTGTTCGGGACTTCTGCTCGTATTTTACACCAAACGGGATTTTCACCTTCGAGCGCGCACAAATGGCCACGAAAGTACTTTGTAATTTTGAGTAGTTCACCTTTGCACAAAATTGTGCAATCGTTTTAAAATGTATGAATGTGCCCGGAACTGAATTGTTGTGCACGAATCCGTGCGTTTCACACGCATGCTCAATTCTGTGCAAGAGCCATGCGTATAAAAACTACTACGCGCACACACACGCACGAGTTTGACTCCAGTCCTCCGATATTTGAACTTTTGAAAGACAATCTAAAACTCTAGACGGACTCGTAATTATAGAACCGTCGGAACTGCTTACAATTGCATCATTCGTCAGATTAAGGTTTACTGTAAGGTGAAAAAACTATCTTCCAAAGTATAGGTGGCAGTGCTTTGGTTTTTGGTGATTTAGTTGCTTACTATAAAAAACTTTTACAGCCACAGACTGGACTCCCAACTCCCATTAGTTCCAAAGTTATGAGGGTTTTAGTGTTATTTTAGTGGTTTACTAAAAATTCTCCTTGCGATGAACCAAAAAGTTTACGGAGGTGTGATTTTTTATTTTAAGGCCCAATGGACATGCAAACAGACTAGCAAAGCCGGATTTCACAATATATGCATAGATGAGCTGTAATTTCTGTTTGGAAAATGCGTTTTGAATTTTTTACTTAAATTTGGTAAAATTTTGCTATTTTTTGGCGTTTTTTTGTGTTTTTTGAGAAAAATTCCTGTTTCGTATTGGAATTTTTGGAAATCCAGCTTTGCTACGAGATAGGCAAATCAATAAAGAACTTGTAAAACAAAAATCAAGTCTCGACAACTTTTGGTTCATCGCAAGGAGAATTTTTAGTTAACGACTAAATTTCTTCCGTAAACTTCAATAACTCAGAAAATAATGGGAGTTGAGTGCCTCAACTTTGGGCTTAAGTTCATCTTATAGTAAGCAACCTGAAACCTAAATACAAACATGATGCCACAATTATTTTGAAAAATGATATTTCACATTTTTTTCACTTTACAGTAACCTTAACGACATTATTTGAGTAGAAATGTCCACGATGCGTTTATTACCTAAAAATTAAACGACATTATTTGAGTAGGAATGCCCACGATGCGTATGTTACCTTGGTAATTTCCCTCCCGAAAAGCTTTGTTCGCCACACCGTGTCCCAAGAGGAAGTTGTGCAGGCACGGGTAGAGGTTCAAATCGCTGATAGAATCCATGGTTCTGCCTCGGGCGAGGGCGATCATCGTGTTCCAGTAGGAACAGTACACGTTTGGCTCGTTGACAGAGGTCCACAGATTGACCTACAAAGCGTCAAGCATGCGTAAAAACGTGGAAACGTGTGTTCTTAAATTAAGGGGGCTCATACATGTTAAACACACTTTGTAAAAAAAATTTTTTGATGTAGATGGATTAAGATTTTTCAATTTCTGTGTTAAAACCCTTTTAGATAATTGAGTAAGCTTCATTTTGGCTTAAAGGAAAGTGACTTTGGACTTTTTTTGAGATTTAGTCGAAACGTTTAAAATTTTGTTCTCGTAAGATTTTGTTCGCATACTTGCTCAGATCTGGGGAAAAATCGGGGAGACTCATCCCTAGTAGTGTCATAGAATTGACTACAATGGGCCCTTTATATCTCTATAGTTTTCAAGAAAAAAATAAAAACATTTTTTGTTAAAAAATTTTTTTAAAAAAATTGTTAAAAAAATTGTTTTTATTTTTTTTTTTGAAAACTTTTGCAGATAAAAAGCCCATTGTAGTCAATTCTATGACACTACTAGGGATGAGTCTCCCTGTTTTTTTCCCCCACAGATCTGAGCAAGTATGCGAACAAAATTTTACGAAAACCCAAAAATTTAAATTTTCGACTAAAACTCCAAAAAATGTCCAAAGTCATTTTCCTTTAAGCCAAAATGAAGCTTCCTCAATTATCAAAAAGGGGTTTTAAACACAGAAATTGTAAAATCTTAATCCATCTGCATCAAAAATTTTTTTTTTACAAAGTGTGTTTAACATGTATGAGCCCCCTTAAAGAAGTTTATATAATTCTAATCCGATGTTAGATTCGGCTTAGGATTTGGTAGGGTGATTGAAACTAGGAAAATGAATGAGTCAGCACCATCACCCTTCAAATGGGCGAGGCAACTGTGATGCCCTTTTTCAGGTGAAGAAAAATTCATCATCCAACATTTATTAGGCCTAACACGCGTTTCGTTGCCGAAACTCAAGTGACGTCTTCGGGGACACTGTTAAGTTCCCGATAACGTGTTCGCGGGGTCCGTTCACTCAAAAAAATTTTAATACAAAATTCTGTATTTGGTTACGCAGTAATTTCCATTACAAATATTACGGAATTTTGTATCAGTACTGACACAAAATTTTGTATCACGCGTTGCGGTAAACTGTTTCCCGCGGTTTCCCGGTTACAGAATTCTGCACTGCTAACATCATGAAACCTTGTAGTTTTTAATACGAAATAGTACCCAAATTTCGGCGATGAATTTTTCACTGCCCAAAATTGATTCACCACTGACTCGTCACCCAGAATGGGGCGAAGATAAGTGCGTAACCCGATGAAGGGGTAATGGTAATGGTGGTGACTCATTCTCCTGATTCGGGCAGTCACATCATACCTTTGATCCGTACTCCTTTAGTAGAAATTTAACGTATTCCTCAAATTTCGCTACCATTCTTTTGTCCATCCAGCCATTGAATTCGTCCTCCAGGATTTGAGGATGGTCAAAATGATACATTGTTACCTGGAACAAACGTGATCTTCAAATCATGGTAAAGGTGTTGGTGACTTCACATTCCCTCGTGCCGTGAAAGACTCACTGTCAGAAAAAGTGTGAACAGCACAACAAAAGTACAACGAGTATTCTATAGTACGATTGACATATTTTCTTGCAGTGCAGTGCACACACCGCACACGTACTTTGATATATTACGTACCACGGGGATCATGTTGTATTTGAGGATCTCGTCGATGAAACTGTGGTAATACGCAACTGCTTCTATATTTGGATTCGAAGTGTTTGCATCCGGCATTATCCGGGACCAGGCTATTGACATCCGGTACAACTGAAGCTGCGAGCAAAAATTAGTTAGAAGTTACAGCGCTGCTTGTCTCTTCGTTGGACAAACTGGGAGGAGGCGACCGCATGACATTAATGTCGGTGCGATCTTGACAGGGATAACCGGAGGGCGAATTCATTATGCAATCCCGTTAGTTACAAGTACGTTCTAAAAGGAGCGAACGCTGACGCCTCCACCCTTTGCAGTAAAATTAGTAATTCTAATGAGAAAGTCAATATGTCACATGTGTTCAGGCAAGGTACCTCAGGTACCTTGCCCGAACTCATAGATTCATACCTTAAGGTCCGCAGCGACCTTCACGTCTTCTTGGAAGCGATGATACGAGTCCGCCGCTCTATCGTGAAGGTTGGTGTGGTTGAAGCCCATTGGCCCGAGCCTGCCGGAATGGATGGCGAAGTCCACCATGCTCTCGGCTTTCCCTTTGGACAACATTGGTGAAGTGAGCCCAATTCGTGTTTATTCGTCTTCCTTCCTTTCCGGCCGACACACTCATTCCAGGAGCGTGACATCACCTTGAAACGAATGCGATAAAATGTCGCATTGCATCACATTTGCTTGGATGAGAATCAGCCAAAAATATGCGTATTCAAAGTAATGTAACAATGCTCAAAGGAGCGATTCATTTTGTCACGTTCGTTTCAACGTGATGTCACGTTCCAGGAAAGAATGAATCGCGTAATGTTTACAAAGGTCAAAATATTCAATCTCAATGCGAAAAAAATAAAGTTACGTGACCGGCTGAATAGCAATACACTGTTAAAAAATGGTTGTACAGAAACAATCAGATGAGTGAAAATTTAGTCGTTCCAAAACATAGAATTTCATCATGAACCAAAGCGAAACAAATGTCGTTGAGTCTAGTAAGCGACATTTTGTCGTTGAAGAACAAAATTCTTGTTATCACTCTTTACGATACAATTTGTGTGGAAACAACATCTTTTGCAATTATCTGCTCAATTAAAGCATATTATGAATAATCATCTATTTTGTTTTTCTAGTCATAGAAAAATTACTATTGTTAAATAAAAACCATGCACAATAAATTTAGCGACAAAAGTACTCTATGGATATTGTCGCAGACATTACAAAATTTCTTTTGGACTTTCAATACTTGTCGTTGATGTGTTATTGTTGGTGCATTATTACAAGTTAGTCGTTGTGAAATTATCCCTTAGTTCCAATACGACTACAGTTTAACAAGCTATTCGTTCCACAACAAATCTTGTCGCTAAAAAAGTTAGCGATAAATGTGTCGCTCAGTTACGACAAAATTTTTATCAGTGTAGTACTAAGCCAGATTTTCGTTTTGCGTTCCACTTGCACAGGCTACTTCTGACAATACATGTGAAAAATCATAGATGACGCCTCGCGAGAGGCAGATTCAAGCAATCTGTTGGCAAGTTTGGGCGGTTTTTTAAAATAAACGGTTATTTTTTACTGTGTGGCAAAAAGTTACGATAAGTTACTAGTAACTCGATCCAACACCAAAATAAATTCAAATTGTTGTATTTCATGGAATTTGAAGTGAAATAATGACGGAAAACCTGGACCAAGGTTCAAATCCCTAAAATGACTGAGAGGGGCGTCGTTGAAATGAAAGAGAAAAACCTGACACAAATTGTCTCCCATACGTTAAATTTCGGGGGGGAGAGACGTGTGGTCTCAATGCAGTAAGGGGCGATCAGACCAACGAGGCGGCCTAAGGCCTAACAGGATAGAAGCTATTTTAAGGGCTTGTGACACTCTCTTTCCAGGACTCTGACTTCACGTTGCAACAAGCATCCAGAAATGTCACGCTGCTTTGAGCATTAAGTCACGCTTGTTTGGATCAGCCATAAATGTGCTTACTCCCAATAATGACATTTTGTCACGCTTGTTTCGAGGTTACACTGAGAAATGGAAGCTAGCAGATCGTGCAGGTTCAGCCCGGACCCCGGCGTAAAACCCCGGTTTTACCGCGCGGTGCAGCTCCGAGCTGAACGGCGCTGCCTCGCAGGTTGACCTGCACCGCGCGCAAACCGACTTACGGGCCCCTCGCACCGGTGGAGCTGCACCATGCACCGGTGCAGGTCGGACCGGGAAAGTGGTGGGGGAAACGCTCACGGTGACGCTCTGCGAGTACGGATTGATGGCAAGAGTTTCATGGTAGGTGGCCTTTACTCAGGAAGGCGTTTAAAAATTATCGAGGTTCTGCGACCTCTGGTGGAAGGGACCTGCATCTCGTAGAGACAGCAGCATCCGTCTCCTCCCGCACCACGTCAGACGAAGTGGTCCGTGATGGCAGGGAGGATCATGGGTGCACCCAACCAAATGGCCGACCGCAGACGCCAGCGAGTGGCAACATGGAAATACGTTTTTCTCGACTTAAGTGTAACATTTGTTTTAAAACTGGAAGCCAAAGGCTAGAGCTGACTTTTACTTGGGCAGCAGATGAGATATTTGTCGAAAATTATTTACTTTGGCAACATAAAGCGGAAATACTTATTGGCGAACGGAGACGGCGCTCCAAGCGCCACCTAGCGGCAGGTTTGTGAAACCTGACGCCAGGCACGTTGGGTCACCGCGGTGCAGCTCGACCTGCGCCAGGCAATTTTCACCAAAACTGGCGCAGGTAGACCTGGGCCGCCCGGCGCAGCTTCACCTGCGACAACCGGTGCGGCTTGACCTGCTCTATGGTGCAGGCGACCTAGCAGAATAATCCGTCAAGCCCTGGTGGGTTTGCGCAGAGGCCCGTAAAACCTACAATTCTCAGTGTATGTCACGTTCCTGGAACGATCCGAGGTTATCTTCACCACTTAGCTTCAAAACTTACCTCCTTCATTCCAAGCGCCTTCGGTCTGTACCGCGGCCACTCCGGCGCCTAGAAGCAGATCCTCCGGCAGGGCGAAACGACTATCTTCGTTGCCGGTCTGGACGGTGGCTGCCGTGCCCAGTGCCGGCAGCACGCACAGGAGGAACAGCATGTGGAGAGCCATATGGAGGGTGAACCGCAGGTACAGCAGGGTAACGAAGTATCTTCAGGTTTGAAGTAAAAATTAGAAGTGAACTTCTACTTCATACAGCCATTCTTTCGGGCGGTTCCTTAGAAAACTATTCAACTGTTTTTCCTTTCGATGAAAAACTAACGACACGGTAAAAACGGTTCCTGGTTTTCCCAGGAACCTCCTGGAAATCGCCTATGTCTTCGCCATAGGGCTCCTGGGAAAATCAGGTACCGTTTTTACCGTGGAGCTTCCCTTAGTTCCTTAAATTTTCGTCACTTGAGTTTTGAAAATGGATAAAACAGTGATATGGTGCTCCAATTTCACCTAAATGTATCTTAGAGCTTAGTTCAAGAGTTTTCATGCGAAATGTGCATCCTCTCACTTATAAAGTTTTCGAGAGAGCTATAATGGAACCCGACGTATACTTACACAAAGGAACTCCGCCGTAGGTATGAAGGGACTGCGACACGAATTGGCTCAAGCAACACCTTTAAATGCGAGCGATCGAGCTCCCGTCTGATATTCTTAGTGTGTGATTTAGTTCGGGACAGGCGCGACAAGCACTCGTGCAGAAGTGGAGATACTTACAACAGTCTATCGCTGATAGCGACATGTGTTGAATTTCTTCGGGACAATTCTGATTGCATAAAAGTTGCAACATGGATGAGAGAGGGGCATTTCGGAACTGACATAGTCGTACACTCTCAGACTCGTATTGACTTTGTTCTCTTCATTATTGACATTTTGTCCTTTGCTTACGTAGTTTTTTAAGCAGCAATAATATGTAGTATTACTTTGTAAACATGTACAATATTGTTCACTATAAAGATTAAATTGTCATCAATTATTGGCTATTTTTTAAGTCAATTGCGTATTGACTCTTTGTCAATTGCAAATTGACTTTTTATCGATATAACGAACAAAATCGTACATAAATATTGAGGAAATAGTACTTTTTATTGCGGTGTAAAATACTCTTTAACAAAGGACAAAAAGTCTGAGAGTGTAGCAATGAATAATTACGGGGCAGAAGCATTGGGAAGAACCCTATTTCTTTTCGAAGACTCATTATTACGCAAAAGGCCCTTTCAGTCATCGCCGAGTGACACTGGCGAAAAGCTACGGAAAATTCTGTAAAGAGCTTGTGGTGCTTCTCCGTAGCCCCCTTGTCAATATTCTCCGTAGGCTCTTACAGCATTTTCCGTAGGACCGCACAGTATTCTCCGTAGAACTATACAGTCCTCCAGGTCCTGCGGAGAAGACTGCGCGGTCTTACAGAGAATACTGTACGGCCCTACGGAGAACATTGATAAGAGGGCTAAGGAGAATCCTTGCGAAAAAAATTAACAGAATTTTCCGTACCTTTTTGCCAGTGGCAGAACAAGAGTATTCAAGAAGTCAGGACAGGCCTAACCAGAAGCGCGCCACCTATCGACTGTAATTGTAAATTGTCAAAAGCTGAACTCTCATCTGATGCGCCACAAGCGTATGTTGAGGGGACCGCTGGGTCCTGCGCAGCTGCTTCCTGCTTTTCTTACTACTTTTGTTTTTTACTCGGTGATGACTCAAAGGATTTATACACTTGGTCGCAACCGATTCAGTTCACTGTAAAAATTAAAGTTCGGAATACACGACGGATCCTTCGGTAAAAGAAATTGCCAACTGTTCCTTTCTTTATTCACGAAAGCCCGACGTAGATTCACGAATCCCGTAGTAAATTTACAACGAGTTTTGCAGATAGACGGTTTGACTTCGTAACGACAAACTTCCGTTTACAAAAAGTAACGTTTACAGTGCACCTTTGGACATTCCAGACAACCTTCAGGTGCCGTCGCGAATTCACAACATATTTTTTACAGTACATTGACGCAGGAACGCCATCACTTTTGACTAGAGAATATTTCGTTTTTTTGTTTAAAGGCCAAATTTTCGTTGTTGACAACTCTCTTCAAGAATCTGACAGCCTCTGTCGATGGATTCTGTTTGCTCTTGAAACTCAAGTGTACACTGGTAAAACAAAGGCGTTAAAATTACGCCCTTCAGGGCATAAATACTCTTTTACGCCCTTGCAAGGGCATTAATCGCTTTATGCCCTTGGAAAGGGCGTAAATGGTATAAGAATTTTAAGCAAAATTTAAATGCTCTTCCAAAAGGCATTAACGATTTACGCCGCTCCAAGGGCGTAAATCGCTTTCGGCCTCTAAGGGCATAATTTTAATGCCTTTGTTTCACCAGAGTATACATGGCACGCTTCAAGTTGAAGCATTCCTGCATCAACACAGGACCTGGAGCATACCTGGCGACAGGGTCTGGGCCGGGTCTAAGCCGAGTCGGGGTCGGATCGTAGCCTATGGGCCGGGCCCTCCATTGTTGCCGAGGTTGAATGGTTTAGCTTGCTTTTTGAGGCTGTGGTGTCCTTGTCTTGTTTCCCTATTTTCTGTGGAAAAGTTAATCCTCACAACGTACCAAAAGCACGACTGTTGGTTTGACTAACTTCATAAACTCGGGAGGAATCAGGCGCGTTTATGGGGGGGGGGGGCGAAGGGGCAATTCCCCCCTCCCCGGTGAGATTCCCTAAACGCCGGATAGCAGGCAACCAGCATCACACGCTACTGTAGGTAGGCAAAATATACACCATCGCCCCTCCTGTCGGGGGCTCCTTAAACCGCGCCTGGGAGGGATGGCTTTTTTTTAGAACGCGAGCGACTTTCGTTTGAGGAACATGAGCACTGAAAGCGCGAGGCGAAGCGACGTGGTTAGGGTAGAGGATATGGTACACCTCCCCAGAAGCGGCATTTCCAGGGACGCGCAGGGACCTCTTTCTAACGCCGTCCTGGCCACACCGTTCGAGGTATCGATATGGAACTTGGCACACGGGCTCAGAAGGGATCAATCTCAATGACGGTGCGTTCAAAAAATTTTTTGAACGCCTAAGTTAGGCCCCAGGGCAGTTCAGTTCTGGTCCAACTTTCGTTCACAACACGTCCTAAGAAAATGGGAATATCGAAAAAAGGGCGATGGTACGTTCTAGATTGACATTTGCTCTTTCCAGAGATGTTATCCTCGTTCCTGTGCGATTAAAATTAGAGGCCAAAACCCGGTAGACCGCAGACCTCTGCACGGCGACTTTCGGCGATTCCGGAGCCGGTCAAAGAGAGGAAGTGCAATGTATCTGTCGACGAGCTGTACCGGCCCCAGACTCCGCACATGTTGTCGCCGACTTTGTTTCACTGAATAGGGACTGCCTGGGCACAGCCTGGCCCGCCACCCTCGCCCAAGGATCGGCACCGTGACAGGTCAATTTATGGCCCCGTGCCTAAATAGTTAAATTTTTCAGCGGTTCATTTTGGAGTTGTGAAACTTGCTCAGATGGATTCAACGGGCCATTGCGGTGTCAGGCGACTAAAGATTCAAGTTCTTGCGACTATTTTGACCTAGGCTTTCCCGAACGTAATCAAGTCCGGTGGCGGGGCTAGTACTGGAGAGCTAAGGTCAAAATGGTCGTAGAACTTTTTTTTTGACTTGCCTAAAACCGCAATCGTGCGCTGGACCCCATTCGCCAAATCCTAAAACTCTAAAATAATCCGTTCAAAAATTTAACTGCCGGGGTCTGGGGCCCATAAATCGGCCTGTCACGCTGCCGACCCTTCAACTCATCGGCTCCGGCGCGTGAATGAGGCGGGGGCGGGGGGCCGGCAGGGGGCCCGGCGCAGAGACAAAGCAGAGGGCTGCATGCAGGCAGCCAGGAGGGGCAGGGGCGGGGGCAGGCGGGGGTCAGCATAGCCCGTCTACGACAGTGCCTTTTCAAAACTCTGCGAGACAAAAATCACCGTGCAGAGGTCTGCGGTCTACCGGGTTTTGGCCTCTAATTTTAATCGCACAGGAACGAGGATAACATCTCTGGAAAGAGCAAATGTCAATCTAGAACGTACCATCGCCCTTTTTTCGATATTCCCATTTTCTTAGGACGTGTTGTGAACGAAAGTTGGACCAGAACTGAACTGCCCTGGGGCCTAACTTAGGCGTTCAAAAAATTTTTTGAACGCACCGTCATTGAGATTGATCCCTTCTGAGCCCGTGTGCCAAGTTCCATATCGATACCTCGAACGGTGTGGCCAGGACGGCGTTAGAAAGAGGTCCCTGCGCGTCCCTGGAAATGCCGCTTCTGGGGAGGTGTACCATATCCTCTTAACTCAATCAGGTTTGACCGGAAGACTTTTTCATTGATCATTTTGAATTGAGCGCATGCGCAGCCCAATAGGTCCCCTGCAGCAAGAGCTGGGTGCTTCACCAAACCCAATACTGTGAAAATTTGAGTAAATATGTGTGGCGCTGTCTTAAAAGTGCCATCCAGCAGCCACAGTTTGGACTTAAGCAGCGAACTTCCAGGTTCCGTCTAGTGCTGAAAATAATTATTTTGTCCCCGTTATTCCACTCATCATTTTAATATGAGTCATAAAGACCAATAAATCTTCCCCACTGAGAGTAAGACGGTATCTAAAATTCATGCTCAGCGAATTTTCGTAAAAAAAAATAACGTATTGTTGGGTTTTGGTGTGGAGGGAAAGGAAGCACGTCCGCACTGTTCAAAGGTTTGATGCCGATTGAGCTGGGTGTACAAGGTGCCTCTTGTAGGCGGGGTTGCCAGGGATACCGGACGGGGTGGCGACAGGGTAGGGTGGCCACTAGGCCGGATGCGGGAACGAGGGGAACCTCTACACTACAACCTCCACATCATTTCTTGAGTGTTTGAGGGTGCTGATGACGAAACTGGAATCCGTTTGGACCTCCGACTAAAGTTAGAATCCCAATAGGGCATAACCAGAAGACCGAGGCTGAAAACTAAAGATGGCATGCAGTGACACCGGGGAATCCCTTCACTACGTAGTACGTTCGGAAAAAAAGGGGGGGGGCACAAATGCTGACACAGAATGCTGTTTCGACTTGTGATCACGTCTCTTAGAGTGCCGATGTGTGGCAAAGGAGCCTGCCGAAGGCAGGGCAGCGCGGGAGACCAAGGTGGGTGCAAACGCCAGGCGTGGATTGTCGGAACTCACGCAGCATCGCGAAACCTGTTAGGACAAGCCACGCTCCGGCGTAGACCTACACTCCAAATCCAGGGTGTCTAGAAACTATACGCCTTTGGCGCATGCCACAGAAATGGAACTGCCTTAAGGCGCCTTGAAACTAGACGCCCAAGGCGTATACCCCATTGAGCACCTTTTGCAGATAGAAGTTAGCATGTGAACACCATTGGTCGAAGGAAAGGTGCGTGCATTGTACACACCCTGGATCATAGGCACTGAGCTCAACAGGACTCAAGGTGCGTAGAATGTAAACAAACACCCTTTAAGGCCTCTGTAGGCATGGCCTCGGCCAAGGGCGGTGTTTGCATTCAACGCACCTTGAGTCCTGTTGAGCTCAGTGCCTATGATCCAGGGTGTGTACAATGCACGCACCTTTCCTTCGACCAATGGTGCTCACATGCTAACTTCTATCTGCAAAAGGTGCTCAATGGGGTATACGCCTTTGGCGTGTAGAATCAAGGCGCCTTAAGGCAGTTCCATTTCTG